TTGTGCATGAACTCACAAATGCACACTCCTTCGCGCATGCACACATAAGCACCAAGTGTGACTTGGGCCTGGGGTAACAAACATGGTCACAACAGACCATATTTACTTTTCTATCATCAATTATATCTTATTTTTATCTAAACGAAAGCCTTCTTAGTTCATTATATCACTAATGAGTACAATTAAGAGAATAGGCCCTCAGCGTCCCATAGCATTTTTTCACAGTTAATGAAGCGCACAGCCTTACAGATCCATTCACACAAGGCCCACGTAACTCACATGCTTCTCTGACCACTGCCAGACTCATAGCTACATAGAGGATTCCCCCAGGACACTCCTTTGTGTGTGTGTGAGGCCACAAGAATTTTGCTAGTTCTTCATGACAGGTCTGATGAATCTGATGGCCATGACCTTGCTAAGTTCTACGCTTATATAAAACGTCTGCTCCTCTATCCTGAAATAGAGGGTAGCAGAGCTGGGATCTCCTTGCCAATGTCGATTTGTATTAGAGGTGCGGTTACTGCATGGACGAGCTCTGTTAAAAAGAGAAAGATTGCAGAGTTGGCTTCATCTCCAACGTCTGTGTGTGATTCACAGACATCTGTGTCTCCCTGAGAAATAACTTTTTCACCACCAGAGCTGTCCAACGGAGAAACAAGCCACTTCCTATGGGCGTGAACTCCCCCTAATGGGAAGTAGTTGGGCACAGCCGTTTCTCAGGGCTGTGGGGAAGGCGATCCAGCGCTGGGTGGGGAGGCAGAACCTTCCCGAAATTTGAGGATGCTACGTTTATGATGGCAGCGGCGTCCTGTCACACGGGTGACAGTGCAAGGGCACTCCATTCAGGTCTGTGCTTTCATAGTGAGCTGTTTGAAAAAGCAAGGCGCCGGGTGTGTTCCAAAGTAGGAACTAATGGAAGACGTTTGTGTTGGCCTTTTGAATCAAGCATCAATGCATGGAACCGACTAGAAGGCTCAGGTGAGACGGTGGAGCAACAAAGCTGAGCATGGCGGGCTGGCAGCCCAGAGCAAGTCCGAGTGGTCTCCTGAGACCCTTTGGACAGAAAGATCCTGCTGTTCCCCCATTGGGTGACATCATTATTAGCTCAATTTCTGAGCCACCTCTTCCCCTTTGGATGGGTATCCCCTCCTCTCCTGTCCACATCCTCTTCCTGTGGGCTCTGGGTACGGCATCCTCACCTGGAGGAAGGTGTCATTCTTCAGTTCTACTTCCTGTCTTTTCCTCTGGAGGAACTCAAACTCAGTGCTAAGGGAGGAGAACCGCCCTCAGGCTCTGTACATAGGATTGAAAAGCACGGGTCTGGGCCCTGCTGGAGAGAGCAGGGAGTGAAGCAGAGCAAACCTTCCTCTAAAAATGGGCTTTTGCTCAGAACTGCTTCTAAGTCAGGGGAATTTCCTGAAGTCTGAGAGAGCCAGAGTGAACGTTCTTCTTAAGTTCAGCGTTTTGGTGAAGTCCATGTGTGATATAATACCACTGTAACCACAAAGGAATTTACCACAGGAAGTATCCCAGCTGTTGCTTATTAGCATTAGAACAAATTACACAAAGCAAATTGTTAGCAGACATGTTTCCGTAATATTTAACTGGTGGCAATAAATAAGAGAGATTCTCTTTCAAGTAAATGTTAGATTTTCAAAAATCCAGCTTCCAATTGTCCATGAAGGAATCATCTTCGATTAGGGTAACCATGGGAGGGAAGGACTCCTTGGAAGCATGAGGCTCCCAGTGCTCTTCCCTCGACAGCACAGCCCGCAGTGGTTCTGGAAGCCGAGTGGCCGCCTGTGAGTGCAGCGGGGCGTCGGCCCTGAGGTGACATCACAAGATGGAAACAGGAATGATGGCATCTCTAGACGTCTGACCATCTGCCGGATTCTCCTCTGGGGTTCTCAAGTGGCCTTCTCATGCCACCGGGGATAGAGGACATGGCAAGACCACAGCAGGGCTGGGCAACCACTCAGTTCTTGGAGTGTGTTTATGACAAAAAATAATCCACCAACGGGTTTTCACCCCTCTTCTTAACAGAACATTGTGGCTTTACAAAGGTCATCTACTCCCTCACAATCCCATGTTTTGTTGTCTGAGGTTTAAAAAAAAAGGTGAGTCCAGTCGCTTCACCCTGTAACCTCGCTAGGGAAGAGCTGAAGAAATGCCCTGTCAGAACGTTCGTCACTTGCTCACACTTAATGAAAACCTGGCTAGGCAGAAATAAAGCAGAATATTTCCATCTTTCAAGACCCTCCGACAATGACTAAGCTCAAGTCCTTGGTCCCCTCTGGGCATTTCTGATTATCTTCAGAAATATGACAAAATTCTCCTTAAGCAATCTCAAAAAATAATTTTAAAATGATTTTAATGGAAAAAAGAAAGGAAAGATTCCATACAGCACGTAAACACAAAAATATATTGTGGCTTCAGGGGTTAGGACTGTGAGAGGAGGTGCTCTTTTATCGTTTTCTTACGAAATTTAGAGTGGTGTCTTCTCTCTCTCTCTCGCTGGTTTCCTTCTCAAGCAAACCAACCCTAGCTCAGGACTCCTTCCCAATAGATTTAAATAGCGTATTTGGTTTTGAGGAGCTCTTCATTCTTTCTTCCTGATGAAAGGGGAAAACCTTGGCAGCCCTGCTGAAGAGCAATGGGGGGAGCCAGGTGAACCCTCTGGTGGGCACTAAACAAGGCCCTTAAGATGTCTGTCCCCTCCCCGCGAGGTCCCCGGCTAGGTGTCCCGCCTCAGTCCCAGGGAACCTGGGCTGGCTGGCTCCGCTGGGCTGGTCAGAGCCTGAGGGAAGCTGACGAGAACCCGGCACCGTCCCCAGCTGCCTTCAGGGCGCCCCCTGCTGGCAGTAGTGGGGATACCTCGTCCCAAAGGCAGAGAGAAGTTTCTGCCTCCAAGTTCCCGAAGCTGGGGGAGGCATTTTACACCAAGAGAACAAAATAGCTGACACGCTCTCAGCCTCTTCCTTAGGCTCTTCCAACCACTGTGTCAGGACACACCCCCCCACACACACCCCCTACATTTTTTACCTGATGTCTTCACAAAGGGATCCATGCACTTATGAAATAATTAAAATGAGTTAGGCAATAGAATTGTCCCTAGATTTTTTTTAAGTGTTTAACAGACACGGGTGATTGGAAATGTCTGGACATGAACACACACACACTCACACACTCTAATTTGGAATTATGCAAAACTATGTCATTATTCACTACAACCTGAAGCAAAGCTACGGCAATGGAATAACAAGGACCATGTCTGTACAAGTGTGAGGCTCCTGAAATAAGCTCCCATTTGGACAAGAGTGACACACATGGCCTGACTCTTTAAGGTCCATTTAGAGGAAATGGCCTGGCATGTTTTACATTTGCTGAGCTATTTAGCTGCTTGGTTTGACAAGATTTTTGAAAGGGTTGAAAATTAATTATAATTGCAGTATTGCTACAATAATCTGGTTGGCTAATTGCATCTCAGTGCAAAAACAGGCAAGGAGGAATTTCCTCCCTGGGTTATTTTCTGATATGGCAGCATTCATTTTAAGAGTAATGAGATTTTTAAAAAGTCAAACCTTAAATATCATGGCTTCAGCAATCTGTCCTGCTTAAAGTTTAATGCAAAATGAGATCGCACCTCCGCGAGAGCAGTTACACGTGAACATGGATCCAGTTTGCTCCGAGGCTTGAGATGATTAAAATCTCTCTCCCCCCGGAAACCTACTCAAAGGATCTCTTTGACATTGTTTGGGGATGACTTGAATCTGGGGGCACCAACGTTCATGCTTTTGTAGTGCGGGAGGCACTGGTGGGGGTGGGTGGGAAGTTGTGAAAGTCTCTCAACGAGGTATATGTATGTTGATGGAAGAGGCAGGACAAGTTTCAGAGGACTGAGCAAAAAAAAAGCTCATCTGGGTTGTTGGGGGGCTTTCTGACTCTCACCGTTTTCACAGGGCAGTTCTGAGTACATAAACTGGCCAAGGGGACTTAGCAAACTCCAGACCAGCCACAAATACTTGCAATGAACAAACTTGGAGGGGCGGAGTCGTCGGTCACGTTAGAATTTTGGACGACCCCATCTCGAGGCCCGATTCAGGGTAGTACCGTCAGGTGCCCAAAGCAAACCACACTAAGCCTCTCCACAACCTGATGACCCAGACTCAGTTTGTGGGCAGGTTTAGGACATCGTCCTCCATCCTGTCTCTGTCTTGCTTTCAGTCCAGCCACCATTTGTGTGTCTAAAAAAGGATTTCGCCAGGATTTTTTTTTTTCTCTTCTCATCAAAGTGGGTCGTCCTCCTCTAAGTTCTGATTTATAGAAGATCAATATGCAAATCTAGCTTGGCTGGCCCCAAGGGTGAACATCTGCCCTGCGCAAGGGCAGCTGGTTGAGGGGGAAGGGGAGGAAATCCCCCCTTCTCTGTTCATCGCCTGAGACCACCCTCCCGCCCGCCCCCGCATCCCAGAGCTAGGTGTGCTTTTTCTAATTTGCACTTGGGCCCAGGGAGGCCCTGAGTTTTCCTTGATCCTCACTCTCCCAGAGATTGCAGAATCTAGTCTTCATCTCCTCACCTCCAACCGGACACTGCAGATGTTTTTAAGGGAGAGGATATACCCATGGCAAAGGTGAATTCATTTTGTAAATATGTTTCCTCTTCAGTGTGGGAGGACGAATAAAAGAGAGAGGGAGAGAAAGGAGAAGGATAAAAAGAAGAATGGAGATAAGGTTGCCTTCTGCCTCGTAAATCGGGGACTCATCATCGTCCTTCCTTGGACACAGCTGCAAAGGGGTAAAAAATCAATTTTTTTCTATTACTCCACGGTGAGGAGGGAAAACCTATTTGTAAATGGAATTAAATCCAATGAGAGCATGTCTGTGTATTTGTTGAGAGCTAGAAAAATTAGCCAGCGGTACAACTACATAATCCAGCAACGTAACGAGAAATCAACACTCTCCCATTTCAAAGCTTATCTGAGACATTTTTCTTCTTTTTAAAAGAAACACCCATGGCTAAATGTCAGTACGACTCTTCTGCGCGCCAACACGTCGACACCCCAGTGAGGACTCTGAAAGGGAGGGAATTCCAAAGCCCCATCTGGGAAGAACATACTTCTAAATTTTTGCCTTTGCTGCTTGTGCATCACAGTCAGTCAATAATGACTGGATATGAACTAGAACGTTCTAGAAGATAGTTTCTTCCCCATGTTGCAATCTGTGGTGCTGACTGTAGAAGAAATTCCCCATATCTGTGTGGGCTAGATCTAGTCCACAGAGACCCTAACCCGCCCAGTGAGTACTAAATCAGCAGGCTGCTGCTGGGAGGGTCTTGAAACTTCATTAGCAGTCTGCCCCCTAGTGGCACAACACAGTACTTCAATTAACTCGGAATAGAAAAGATTTTTTTTTTTCCTTCTCTTTCAGAGAGCAAAAGAATTCAAGTTTTCCAGATAGTGCAAGGTGAGGAGGCATGTTTCCTCAGAAGACAGCTTCCAGAGCTGAATTAAGCAAGGCTCACAATGACAGGTCTCCTGGGGCAGAGTTAAAAACGTTTAAAACGGGTGGTGCTATGGTGGAGTTCCCGTAGAGACAAAGGTCTTTTCTTCTCACATCCGTGGAACCCTCCAGGGATCTCCTTGGGCAGTAGCATTGGGGTCCCTGATCTCTCATCATAAAGACAGGACCCCTACTCACAGCAACCGAGCTACCAGGAATGCTAAAATAATAGGCTTTTCCATTAATTTTTGGCAAATCATTAACATAGAGGAGCCTTTTGAAAGGGCCATGTTGAATTTTTTAAAAGGCAGAGATGCACAAGTTTTAGAAAAAGACCCAGTCTTTGTGGATGTTATTTTTCAGGAGAGAAGCCATTTTGTGATGGCGGCTGGATGTTGGTAAGGCAGAAGACGATCCTGAGACCTGCTTGTCTGGACTTCACTTCCATCTTTTGAGAAACCTTCAGAATTTGGCTTGCTTCAGTTTATCGATATGGTAGCAGAGTTTCAGTGCAGGTCCCAGCTTCAGACCCAAGTACTTCATGATCATATCACTCTTCAGCAACAAGAGAGCATTGCCGTCAATCTCCTGGTGGGACAGGATCAGAAACAAGAAAATCCAGATGATGGTGAGATCGATCAGACAGTGGCTACGGTTAACATGGGGTCAGGGCATGAGGTAAGGGAATATGGGTTCACTCAGGCACACATTCTCTTAGTCCCAAGGCAATATCTTCTTTTAAAAAATTAATTAAAGCAAAAAAGATACTATTTGTTCCTCTTCCCATACTCTCCCTGAGGTCATATGACACTGGATCTTTCATATTCCTACTCCCCTGATTGAAGGAGCCAAACATAAACCCAGTTTTGTTCCCAATAGCCCCCATGTGATATTTCTCTCCTTATCTGCTCTAGGGCTAAAGGAGCAAAAAGTTTGCAGTGGACTTAATGTTTGTGTCCCCCACCCAAATTCAAATGTTGAAATCCTAACCCCCGATGGCATGGTATTTGGAGGTGGGGACTTTGGGAGGCAATGAGGTCATGATGGTGGAGCCCTCAGGAACAGGATTAGTATTCTTCTACAGCAAGATGGCAGTCTGCAACTCGGAAGGGGGCTTCTCATCCTGACCTTGGACTTGCAGCCTCCTGAGCTGAGGAATACATTGCTCTCGTTCCTAAGCCAGCCGGTCTGTGGCATTTTGTTACAGCAGCCGGAACAGACTAAGACAAAGTGTCGTCCATCAGTTAGACCCAGAAACTAGCAGTCACCCCTCCATTTCAGGTGCTGGTATGAGGCCCTGGTATTCCATCCATCACCCTAATCTCTTGCTTCTTTCCTTGGTAGTAAGCCCACCGACCTTGAGCTGATTACCAAATTGCTAATTACACTTGACGAGAGATTTTAGGTGTTTGGCCCTGTTAACAATACCAGGGGGCATACAAGTAAATAATGCACCTGCTTCATCTCAGGGTTTAGCAAAAAGAACTACTAAGGGGATGCCAACCTCAAGGGTGAGGTCATGGTATTGTTTCGCATTTGTCTCTGAAAATGGTAACCCTCCAGAATGCTTGTAGAATTCGCGAACCTAGTAACGCTCGGTTTCCTCGCTCAGCTACATTGTTATCTAAAGGTCACAAGAGACAAAGAGAGTTTGAGTGCTCAGACTGGGGAAAGAGGCAGTTACAGGAGTCACACAGCTGAGGACCCCCGCCCTTCTCGTGCACCCAACCAGCCAGCCAGAAGCATCCACTCCAGATCACTCACTCCCTGTCGCTGGCAAAATGGCAGAGTGGACAAACTCTCATCCTTGGGCCTAATCTTCTCTCTTACCCCATCTCCTGGCCTTCCACCATGCCCTACAACTCTGGAAGAGAGCCAGACTCCTTCCACTCAGATCCTGCTCAACATAACCCACTCTGGGATCCTTGCTCTCAAGGCCTGGCTGTCCAGTGAGCTCAAATACACCCTCACGAAATGTGAGTGTCGGGTGAGAGGAAGAGTCTCCCCAGATCTGAGAATACGGTTTCTATGATGGAATCACCAAATCAAAGTGAGAGACAGGAGGAGAATATCATGGTAACTGGGCTTGGCCAGAAATGACGCTCCCTCTCCTCCACCCAAGACGTCTCCAGCCTGCCCCCTGGACCTGGAAGGATGTTAGGTTACCCTAGCAAAAGGGAATTAAGGTTGCTAAAGAGCTGGCTTGAAAAATAGGGGGAGTATTCTGGATTGCTGGGTGGGAGAGCCAGTTGTAATCACCAGGATCCCTAAAAGTAGAAGAAGAAATCGCAAGAGAGCACGGGAGCTGGCCGCCGGGGAAGGACTCGCCTGATGCTGCTGCACTGGAGGACGAGGGCCGAGCCATCCAGATGCTGGAAAAGGCAGGGAAGTGAATTCTCCCTAGAGTTTCCAGAAAGGAACCGTCAGCCCTGCAGACGCCTTGACCTCAGCCCACTGAGAGCCCGGCCAGACTTGTGACCCTCCGAACCGGAAGATAATAAACCTGTGTTGTTCTAAGCTAGATGTGTGCGGTACCCGGGGAGAGCAGCAATAAAGGGCTGACATCGGGAGCGGATTAAGATGGCTCATGCAGCAGTAATTATTACCTGGTCACCCCCCCCCTGCCAATTTACCACTTTATATATTTCAGACTCTCCTAGTTTTAAGAGTCTGTGCCAACTGAAGGCTAACTACAAGCGGGGCACCGTGCTCAAGCCCTGACGTGCATTTTTTCATCAAATCCTCCCGGCGGCTCAGGAATCAGCGCTATCCCGGTGGCCAGGCACACTGTAGGTGTGCTATAAATGTTTGTTTGAATGCACAGACAGACGGATGGATGGGCAGGAAAACAGGCATACTTAATAAAGGCCAAAAGGAGGGAACAGATGGGACAAATATCCCTTCTTAAAAACAAAACTAAGTGGTTGTTCTGCTCTGAGAAGCCTGTGGCTCCATCTGGCCTCCCTCTGAGCAGAGCCCGGGCGCTGGGTTTAGCCCACCTGCTCCTGCAGCCCTGGCTCCCTGACCCTCCGCCTTCCTTTGTCCCTCCCCCAGCCCTCCAGCCCTCTCTGGGGCCAGCCCCCCATCATACCCCCCCACCCTGCCCGCCCCACGCCTACGTGCTTTCTGAAGAGCTCCACGTGTGGACCCAGAGCCTGCGGGTCAGCGTCTTTCACGAACCAGACCACATCCTCCACAGTCCAGGTGGAAGGGTTCCTGCTCCGTGGCTGCCTGGCGTCTGGCCCGTCGGGGGAAGGGCTCGAGGCTGGATGGGTGGACAGAGAAGAGCATGAGACAAGGGGACGAGGGCCTCCCTGCCTCCCTGGGCGGCCTGCCCGCGCCCCCCACCCCATCCCGGCCTGAGTGATCTTCTGCGACAGAGAAAGGCTGGGAGCAGCTCGTAGGGAGCCTGGAGTACCGGGAGGCCACTTCTAGAAGCAAAGGCTCCATCTGGGCAAAAGCCCTCTGTCCTCCCAGGGAGTAACGTGCTAGAAAATAGATCTCCTTCAGCAGGCTGACATTCTGAGCCATGTTCAAGTTTTAAAAACCCCTCCTGCTCAGCCCTATCTCAGGGAGCCCTGGACCTCCTGCAGCTGGGTCCCTTGGTGACCAGAGAAAGCTTGCCAAGATCAACATCCTGCTGGGCCCTATAGTGCTGGGGGTCCCAAATGAATGCAGATCCCCTCCGCCCCCACTGGGGACACCGAGACAGTAGAGACATGGCAGAACTGAGGTGCATTTGGGTGGTTGTTCGGGGTCTCTGCCACCAAAGCTTGGACCCCCTGTCTGCGAGGGCCACGGGCAAAAAGGAGACGTGGTCTTACCACTCTGGGCATGCCCCATGTGCCTTCACAAACCCCTGCTCTTCAGAGCGCTTCCTCCAATCTACCCCACCAGCTGGGGGAACCCCTCGACAGCACAGGGCCTACTCCCGTGCCTGATACATAGCTGGTCCTCGATAAATGATGACTGCGCGAGCTGCACCGATGGGACAATGCATCTCCCGGACGGCAGGTTAAAAGGTGCAGGATGAGTGGAGTGGAGTGAATCAGATGTCGAGCACTATTTAGGGACTCTTTCTGGTATGTCCCAGACTAACTCATCCTCCTTCCTCCACACCAGCTTCTCCTCCAGCCCCTCAGGTTTCTGGAACCATAGTGACGTCTCTACTGCTACCTCTGTCTCTAGCATCACTAAGTCAGTCCCCACAGTGAATTATACTAAAACTCTTAGAAGGATGCCTCTCACCCCAGATCCTCCCTTGTATCCTGCTTCCCCTGGCTGGAAACCTCTTACCAAACCGCTGCAACCGTTTCCTGTGGGCATCCTTGCCCTGAGATCTCTTTCTTCCAGAGCACACCTGTGTACTGCCTCAACGCTTTCCCCAAACCCGGCTCTGTCTGTGCCCCTTATGAATGTCCCTAGCCTATGTGCTGGCTCCAGAGTGCACACTCTAGCTCAAGGTCAAGGACTCTCTTTGGTCTTAATAATTTCTTTCCTTCTGAGACAGAGGGGAAGAGCTTTGGTGCCAGAGAGCCTTAGGGACAAGTGCTGGAGCGCCCATTGCTAGCAATTTGACCATGACTCAGCTCATTAACTGTAAAGTGGCAACGCTGTCCTCCAGGAAGGGCAAGTGTCAGGACTGGAATGGGATCAGGCATGGTCCTAGAGCTCTTGTGCATCACGTGCTCCCCAAAGGGAAGGAGGCGCCCGGCGCCCTCATGCACCCTCCCATCCGGGCACACCCACCACTTATCTCCCCAGCTTCCCTTCTCCATCTTCACCTGGTGCTTTTTGCTTCCCTCTAGAAGCATTTACACTCCTGCCTTTCCACAGACATTCCACCAGCCATCAAAGCCCAGGCAGACCCTTCCCAGGCAGCATGTCTGTGTCCTGCCATCTGGATGTGCCCTTCCTCTGCTTCTAACCCCCACACCTTTGTTCTAAGATGCTTTCCACAATTGCCTTATACTGCACGTGTGCATGTCTATAACCTCCAGTTAGGTTCAAGTTTCTTGAGGATGATCATTTTCATCTTCCCCAACCCCATCCCTACCCCATTCATTCCAGAAACATCTACTGAGCGTCTCTTCTCTGCCAGGTCCAGGGCAAAGTGTTTGGTAAAAAACGGGACCCTCTCATTACAGGGTTTATAATCACTGACTCTTCCCCAGTTCTAAGTAAATGTGCTGGTAAATACGGGTTCGATATACTTTGTGGAAACAGTATAAATAACTCATTCAAAAGCCTTGAGCAGGTAATTCTTAATCCTATTTTCAGGCCAGAAGAAAGCAGAAGCTCTGAACAATGAAGTGGTTTCCCTACAGAATAATTCCACGTCTAGACGCTTCAGCTTCCATTTCCCTCCTCCAGTCCCAGGGTGCGGTGGTTCCCTGCTGTCTCTTTCTTGCTCCTCTTTTTAGTGCGCTCGAGAAGGGCTAGGTTCTCCATCAGTGCTGAGCGAAGTATGGCGTCGCATTTCCAAGTCTGCCCTAAAATCATAATGGTTTGCTCGAGGATTGGATTTACTTTGGGATTTCCCCTGCCTTTTCCTTGCTGGACCTGGAAGGGTCCCCTAAGGTGGGTTGGCACGGGGCATTTTGCCGGGAAACTGTTAAGGCACCCTGGGGCCGTCTGAATGGTGATGCATGCTTATTAGAGTTGATTTCACTGCACTTAAAGACATCTGCACGCAACATGGAGATGAGGAATCACGGAAACCACGGAAATCGCATTCGCCTCGGAATCCGCCCCATTGGAGCTTTGGCGTTAATTGCGGTGATAATAGATGTTCTGATTACAAAGGCTGGAAGTCTTTCGGTGCCAAGAATGATTTTAGAGTGATCAGAGAGGAGGTCAAATCGAGTTTCCTGTATCTGATAGGAAAAGGGAGAACCCCAGACCGATTCAGGGCACTGTCCTGGGGAGCCTAAGCTCCTCGAGCAAGGTCAGGGCACTCCTTTGCCAGGGGCCCCTTTGGGGGCGGCAGGATGCTGAGCAAGAGGGTGGGGGGGCTTGTCTTTACTGAGGAGGCTCTCCAGTGCTGGCTGTGGAGGAGGCAGACCAGTTGGAAAGTGGCTGCACTCCTGGTGCCCGGTGTTTGCTGTGGGCGTTTTTCACTTTTCCAGGATGGAATGGCAGCAGCCGGGCCTGGCTTGGGAGTCTGGCCGAGGGGGGCCTCTTAGCCGTACAAGACTGAGAGCAGCAGGAAGCCTGTCATACCTCAGGAGTCGCTCAAGACCCTTGAATCTTGCTCCTAAAGGCCCAGGTCATGCAGAGTGCTCACCAAAGGCCTTTCTGGGAAGGCAGCATTCTCCGGCTCAGGGCACTCTGTGTGTGTCACGTGCCTTCCCTGGAGCTGCCGGAGACAGTGAAGAGGGAAACCCAGCTGTGACTGGGTGTATAATCAAAGATGGCGGTGGTTGTTTCTAAAGTTGTTCCACATGCACCAGGGACAGAATGCCTGTGCGTCAGTGCTTAGAGCAACCCCTGGCATTGTCACAGCCAAGGTCCTTGCACTGCTGCTTGTTGAGTCTCTGTGTCTCACACAGGCCCACAACCACATACATAATCTCCTTTTGCTCATTCATCATTCAAAGAAAAGTTCTTCCCCCCGGATGAAGGAGCCCTTGCCAAGCCTTTGCTCACTTCAGCCCCTTCCCATGGAGTGTGGGCCCCATTCTCCTTTTTCTGACTGGGTGGTCAGTCTCTCTGTCCGTCACCCAATACCTCACCCCCGAAGAAGCAAACTCTAATCCACGGGAAGCATTTGGGTGGCAATAACAATGTCATATTTACTTCCTTTCTTGATTCTGAAGCTTGGACTAATTGTGGTTGGGAATTCTCTAACATGGCCTATTTAATGCAAAAGTTAGGAAGCTTTTGTTATCTGAAAACCTTATAGCTCTTGGTGCTTATATCTAGGATGAGAGACGGGGAAGAGCTTTCAAATTTTTACCCAAGTATCAGGAAAAACCAGGGAGATGTCAATATGTCCCCTCAGAGCTCACTGGCAGAGGCCATAGGTAGCAGGAGGCCAGGGTGAGTCCTCACGGTTTGTCATGTCATCCATGCCTACCCTCCTGCCTGCAGCCCCATGCAGTTTTCTGGCTTCTGTGTTTTAAACCATTTTGATTATCACCACAGGGGAAAATCCATTTTTAGGTCCCTTCTAGGGCTTATGACTCAGGTCAAACCCTCCTGAAGAGGTACAGTTTCTTACCACCAACTACTTACACCTGGGATGCAATTCCAGAGCAAAAATGGAGCAGTTCCTTGGGTGGAGGGAAAACTTACTAAGCCTCCAGAGGGCCCACAGCAAGCACCCAGCCTGATAGGTGACAAATGGGCAAGGAGGCCAATGTCTCAATTCAGCATGGCTTATCTCTATGGGCTCCAAATGTGTTTAACTGTGCAAACTTGGTTCAAGCAAAGCATCTGTAGAACCCCACTATGCAAATGTGAAGAGGTCCTGGTTGGGAGGGGGAGTGCTGGAATCCTCTCTGTTCCCATCCCCGCTTCCCTAGCCCCTAAAGCCTCAGAGGAACTCCTTGAAGCCCACTGAACATAGTTTGAAAATTTTGAAGTAATTTGGGGGTAATTTAGAAAGATGCAGGCTTTGGAGCCAGTTAAAGTAAAATCCTGGCTTAACACTTGAATCTTATCTTGATCTTCACTTTCTTTATCTGTATTGTATATAATAATACCTACTATAATAATATATACATACTAAAATAATAAATTGTAAAATATAACTTATAGGAAGTCATAAATAATGTACGGAAAGTGTCTGGCTCATATTTACTAAATAGCTATTTAGTAAATGCCTCAAACAAGCAGTCCCCTTTTCTGGGACTGTGGAGGACAGAGAGATGAGCGAGGGACCTCACAAAGCTGAGGGTCTGGTTCCTACTGTGGGACAAGAAGGAGGACATGCTAGAGATAAGGGAACAAAGTGCTACAGAAGGAAATCGACAGAATGAACATTTTTAATTGGGAGGTGTGGTTGAGACTGTCGATTGTCTCCCCAATATCTTTTTTCCACTTCTTTTGTAACAGAATCCCCGATTTCCAGCTGGGATCATGTTGCTTAGAATAAAACCATATTTCCCAGTTTCCCTTGCAGCTGGTGGTCACGTGACTATGTTCCAGCCAGTGAGATGTAAGCAGAGTGGAACCCTGTTTCAGAGAGGTCGGCACTGTCCTCCGTCCCCTTATTCTCCCCACCCCCTTCCTTCACCTTGATGCTAGAACGAGCATAGCTGGCTGGCTTTCTGGTATCTGTGGTTCCATTTAACATACTGGTTAAAGGAATCCTTGGAGCATTTGAGAGTTAGTGTACCTACAAAGGGTGAATACTTTTATTTTTCTTCAATGTAACACAGAGGCTCAACAATGGACTTCAGCTGCTACAACCTGCAGCCGCTTTACTCTGAGGAAGCTATTTTTTAATATCCCACAGCCCAGAGGGGTCCTGCTAATTATGAACCACTCTGATTTGCTGGGTATCAAAGTTCCCACCAATATTTCTAAGTTGTTTAAGAGACAGCCAGTATTCAGGATAGAGTTAGTGATTTGCTTGGAGTGGAAAGTAGCAGGTGGGCTCCATCTCTCTGATTTTACCTGAGCCCTGAGTGAGTGGGGCTTTCCCAGGGAGCAACCCGAGCTCCAACAGAAAGGGCTCTCTCTCAGAGCTGGTTCCCGGGGAGAGTCTGGGCCTCTCCTCAAGGAAGACTCCTCAGATAGCTAACCAGGGTGTCATTCCAGGAGAACAAAGGGCTGAGGTAGGGATGAATATGAAAGACAAGAGGGTTGTTGAAGCTGGGATGGGAGCGAAGCTACCTTGAGATCCTTTTCAGGGGGTCCAAGATTCCCCTCATCTGGGGGGTACCAGATAGACCGGAATGGAGCAGAAAATTATTCACCTAGTGATAGAAGTTCTCTTCATCGAAATCGTGCCTTCTTCTTACTGCTTGAATCCTACATGTAGGACCTAAGGCTTGATACTCCACCAACTTGAATGGAAGAGAGAGTAAATACCTCCTTTTGAAAAAGTGTTAACACTCTTAGGATTATGAGTCAATTCAATCAGGTTATGTCCTATGATCACTGCCCTGAGAAAATGGGAACTGGGTTGAGGAGAAGAGGTGGAGAGGAAGAGACACGTGAAGGGCAGAGGGACACCAAGATGAGGGTTTTGACGACCTGGGGCAAACCGTGAGGGCACTGGAATCATGATAGGGGCACAGAGATAATGAACGTTTACTGAACTACTCTATACCAGATGTTATAAACTCTGGGGACAAGCCTAGGAAACAGCCGGGGCCCCTCCTTTACATTCCAATGTTGATTTGTGCCGGATCTTGTTCTCTTCTCTTGTTCTTAAAAATCAGGTGGAAAGTGTCTCTCCTCTTTGGAAAATGGGCTCTGTCCAGTCAAATCTTGCCTGGCTGATGGCTCTATGTGATAACTTTGGGAAGTAGTCTGCAGGACGCCTCTACATTTGCCAAGAGCCCCCATGGCTGAGAGATTCTGCGCTCTGCCCCCAAAACTGCCTTTCCTTCCAGCATTTCCTGCACACCTTTCTATCCTCAGCCAGGAGAGGCTTGTGCAGGATGGGGAGGTCCTTGTGGGGAACACGTGAAGGATGTTGGACTGTACAAAACAGCTCACAAAACAGCTCATCACTGTGGCTTCTCAGGGCTACTGGTAGAGAGAGCTGAGACTCAGAACAAAGATGTGGCTCACCAGGGAAGACAGCCAACCCACTTGGAGGCTCCAGAAGGCAAGATGGAGACTCCTGACTCCTCCTTGGCCTGAGGCCTCCTCTCTTCGGCAGTTTTCAGGCGCAGAGATGCTGGGCTGCGGTGTCTTGAGAGGTGTGCTCACATGATCTGTGACTGCTAATGTTTATTGAGCTCTTACCATGTGTACGTCTTGCACTAAATACACATATGAACTTATTTAATCCTCCCAACAAACCTATGAGGTAGATGCTATTGTTATCATTCCAATTTTACAGGGGAGGAAACTGAGGCACAGAGCAGTCCAGACTTGCAGAAGGTCATAAGTTCGGGAAGTGGTGGGTCCAGGATTCCAGCCCAGTGCATCTGGTTCCACAGTCCACATGATTATCTACTATGCTCTACAACCTTTGTTCATTAATGCAATACTGAAGCTTGAAAATGATTTTTTAAAAAACCATAATCCATAATGGATACCAAGCTACCCCTAGAATGAGAGCCCTTTTGTGCACTGCATCCCAACAAGGGATCTTTAACGGATGAGACTGAAGCTCATTCTGTCTAATGAAACCATAGACAGATTATAACCAGTATTGTAGAAATGTGTAACTCTGACTCTGGCCATGTATTTGTATCCTGCAAAGGTCACCCACCAAACAAGAGACGATGCTTTACTGACATCTCATCTTCTTTTTCCTGGCATAGCGTTGATCTACACCTTTCAGATTCCCTTAGAGTTAAGTGTGGCAAAATGGCCAGTTCTTGCCAATGAAATATGAGCGGAAGTGACATGCATCGTTTCCGGGCTCCAGGGAAGTGTATGCCTTCCGTACTCACTCTTTCCCTTTCTACTCACTGGGTGATGGAGGCACGAAGACCACAGGGGATAGCTGGGCCACAAAATGGACAAAGCCTGAGTCCCTGAATTGGGGTGCATCTACCAACTGAGAGCACCACCTTGGACTCTTGAACAATAAATGAATTTCTATTGCATTTGAACCACTGGACATTTTGGAGTCTACTTACTCCTACAGCCTAGCCTCCTCTAATATACCACTTTCTTAAAAAAAAAAATACTGTGGTCAAAGGTTGAAGTTAGCTGCCTTTAAGAACAACAAAAACCCACGAAAGGGCTTCTGATTTCCCAGTGTTCCCGTGTTCAGACAGCATGGTTTCCCTCTCCTCCCCACCCCCACCCCTTACATGCAGTGATCCCAGAGCAATGGCCAAGGAGGTTAAAACATGGGGAAGCCAGAACATGCATTACATTACCACATCTGTTTCCTTCGAGAGAGGTCCCGTTTCTCTTGGGGCTGGAGCCTGGGGGCCTCAGCCCAGGTGCCAAGGGGCCTCCAGAGGACATGGGGCTGGAACGGGGACCATTGGCAGTGGTGGCCAGGCCTCCCCCAAGATGGCCATCTCCAGAGTTCTGCCTCTTGCAGTACAGCGAGGAGGAGGTGGGGAAGGAGCCCCTGTGGCTAAAGGCGGAGGTGGAGGGGTCCACGCTGTAGCGGTTCATGCCTACAGGTTTCACCAGGCACTCCTCAGTGGTGGCTGTTTTTGCTAAGCAAGAAGGCAGGAGAAGCAGAGATCAGAGAGCAAGCCAAGAGGCTACCTGACAGTCTTGGCAAATGTTTCCCCTGCAGCACCAGTGCCACTATCTGTGGGGATGAGAGATGAGGAAGAATGGACCCCACATCATAATCCCAAATAGTTCACCTCTCAACAGATTAAGACACTTGCCTCACCAACAAAGCATATTATAGTAGGGATGAGAGATGTGCCCCTCTCTGTTCAGAGGAAGAAGAGATTATTCTGGCTATTGATGACTTGAAAGTAAAATTCAAAGGTCTTTTTCTTTTCATGGTGTTGCCCCTCCAGCAGTCTCTACCAGCTTGTCTGAATCTCCCTGCTCTCTTTTCTCTTTGCCCACCAATACTGCCCTCCTCACCCAGCCTAGGATGCTTGAGAGCTCAAACAGGAGTCACAATGTCCCTGAGGTAACAATCTGATCTGGGTGGTGACACAAGGGCAATGGTACTTCCTCCCCACCTTCAGCCTCAAAACACATGAGGGTACTGCCCTTCCTCCAAAGCTAATAAACTGGGGAAACCAACGCTGATCTGGTCAGCCCTACGGTCCTCCATAAACGTAAAACTTCTGTGCTTTGAAAGATAGCATCAAAAAAGTGAAGAGATTACCCACAGAATGGGAGAAAATACTTACAAATCATATATCTCATCAGGGACTTGTTTCCAGAGTAACTCAATAAATGTCAATTAAAAGATAACCTAATTTAAAGATGGACAAAGAACTTGATGAGATCTTTCTCCAAAGAAGATATACAAATGGCCAATAAACACACAAAAACATGTTCCCCATTATTAGTCATTGGGGAATGCAAATCAAAACCACAAAGAAGGAGAACTTCCTGCTCACTAGGATGATTACAATAAAAAGTCAGATAATAACAAGTGTCGATGATGCTGTAGAGAGAGTGGAACCCTCATACACAGCTGGTGCGAATGTAAAATGGTTCAAACTAGAGTCACTCTACAACCCAGCAATTCCACTCCAAGGTATTTACCCGAGAGAAATAAAAACATACATCCTCACAAAAATTGGCACATGAATATTTACAGAAGCACTATTCATAATAGCCCAAAGGTGGAACTAACCCAAAAGGTGATCAACTGATGAATGGATCCCCAGAACGAGGCATATCCACACAATGGACTATTATTTGGGCATAAAAAGAAATGAATACTGATACTGCAACAGTGTGAATGAGCCTTGAAATATTCTGCTAAGTGAAAGAATCCAATCACAAAAGGCCACAGATGAAGTGATTCTACTTCTATGAAATGTCTGGGATAGGCAACTCTATAGAGACCAAAAGTAGATTAGTGGTTGCTGAGGGCAGGAGAGGTGGCAGGGGCGGGGAGAGAGAGCTAGCTAAAGGGTATGGGCTTTTTGAGGTGTTGAAAGTGTTCTGCCATCGTGGCTGCACATTTCTGTGAATATACTAAAAGCCACTATGTTGCATTCTTGTACGATCTATGAATTATACATCTCAATAAAGCTATTTAAATAATTCATTGCCAAAGTCTGGTATTAGGTGTGAACACATTCTCAAGAGTGTTGTTACACAGGCAAGCCTGGCCACCACGGCTCTGGCCACCATGACACAATCCAGCTGGGCAGCCTCAGTGTACGCATGCTCTGTGCTTTCTGCTTCGTGGCCAGTGGAGGGCTGCAAGATGTCCTCAGGAAGCTGGAACTCCACACCTTCACACGGATGACCTCTATTGCATCTCTTCTGCCTGAATCAGAAGACAGCAGTAGGAAGATTCTAAAAAGGACCAGCCTACAGAGCTATGTACGAGGCTGCCTCCTGAATGGAGTGAGGAAGAAGAAGACAAACACTGAGCACCTACCATGGGCTAGCACCAATCCAAGCCAGTTAGCAGTAAAGCTGTCATTCTATTCCTTTTATTGGAATGTTCTTAGTATTTGAGCTACTAATCCTTTCTGTGTCCCTAGTGGCAGGTGCCTTGGTATATGTGAGGAAGCTACTCATAGTGTCTGGCATACAGAAGGCACTCAATAAATATTTATTGAGTAGACATTTGGGCCACTGTTAGCAGTGAGGCAGCCATTACACAGAATACACATTACAATACAGATTCAAAGGTCTATATATAAATTCGTCATGTGGATGCATGATAGACAGTGATAAAAAAAGACAGAACTAAAACATTTATTCTGTTTATTCAATGTTTTAAATTGAGACTAAATATATATACATAGTTCTGATAGTGATAATGTAGAGAACGCAGATAATTCTCCCATCTATATCCATATTTTCTACTGGAAAATACAGATGCGGATGAAAGATTGTCCCCCTGTGATGACGTGCAGAGATGGGGAACAAGGGAACGTGGACTTTATTGTCTGAAAAACTGCTGACGACCATGGGTGAGATCAAAGGTAATAAAAGCCAGCTTCTGGGCTAGGATCCAAATGAATTCATCAAAAAGTAAAACTGACTTGAGAGACCCTTAGGCAATAGCCCTCCAGCCGGCACAGGGTATACCAGTTATCCCGGAGACAGTGGGTGAACAACCTTGGAGATAGCTCCGCAAACCCACCACCGCAGCTCTGCCTAGCCTGTAGCTCCCAGGCAGCCTGGGAGTGAGCAGTACGTTCAGGTGCACACACGAGGGTGCCGTTCAGAATTGAGGAGTCACATCTGCTCAAACCTGGTTACAACAGCCTTTCCCTCACCTTTGTAAATAGGGGTGCTGACACATCATAGCGAAGTGTGAAAATGACTGATACCAGGCAGGCCCTCATCATTCACCCCCAGGACTAAAAAGGGGCTGCACAGAACAACCAGCCCAGCATTTCTGCAAGTGTTAGGTGTGTCCCACTGGCGGGACAGGGCATGATTTTAGTTGGGACTTTGGTATATTTGCTTTCTACGGCTATAGAAAAAAACGTAAACTTAGTGGCCTAAAACAGCAGAAATGCATTGTCTCATAATTCTGGAGGCTAGAGGTATGAAACCGAGGTGTTGGCAGGGACATGTTCTTTCTTTCTTCTTCTTCCTCTTTTTTTTTTTTTTAAGATTTATTTTTTATTTTGGAGAGAAGGGGAGTGGGGGGAAGAGCAGAGGGAGAAAGAAACTCAAGCAAATTCCATGCTGAGCGTGGAGCCTGATGTGGGACTTGATCTCATGACCCTGAGATCACGACCTGAGCTGAAACCAAGAGTGGGAGGCTTACTGACTGCACCACTCAGGTGCCCCAGAGCCATGTTCTTTCTTAAGGTTCAAGTGTAGTATCCCTACTTGTCCACCTAGTTGCTGGTGGTAGCCAACAGTCTTCCACTATAGATATATCCCTCCTATCCACCTCCGTTGTCACATGGCATCTTCCCTGTGTATCTGTGTCTGTGTCCAAATGTCTTAGGAAGACATTAGTCATTGGATTAGGGCCCATAATCCAGTGTAACCTCGTCTTGATTACATCTGCAAAACCCCTATTTCTTTCTTTCTTTTTAATTTAGAGAGAGTGGTGGGAGGGGCAGGAGCAGAGGGAGAGGGAGAGAGAAAATCTTAAGCAGGCTCCACGTCAGATGCAGAGCCAGACACAGGGCTCTATCTCACCACACTGAGATCATGACCCAAGCAGAAATCAAGAGTCAGATGCTGAACCAACTAAGCCACCCAGACACCCCAAAAATCCCATTTCTAAAGAACATTTCTATTCACAGGCACTGAAAGTTAGGACTTGAAGACAGAGCAACAAGTGAACATTGTTTTCTTACAGTAATGTATTTTAGTGTATAGCAATAAAATATAATTAGCCCATCAAACTCTGATTTCACTGATATGGTATCATTGCTTAAAGTGACTAAGAGAGCTAAAGTTAAAGGAAATGAATCCGTTTAAAGGAATATCTTGAGTAAACACTTTCACAACTGTTGTATGGACATAGCAGAAATTGTGAAAGGTGGTGTGTTAATAGTAGAATGAATGCTGAGTTAGTACCAAGCCCTCTTTTCTGGCTGGGTGGTAAATATGGAAAACAAATGAGCTTCTTATTTAAAAGCTTCCTGCAAGAAATTTTACAATCTCCCTCACAATTAGCTCATTGTACTACAAATCTCGTGGCCTAAAAGTTCCTCCTTACATCTTACCCCCATTCATCTTGCTTTCTTTGAAAAGATGACTACTGGATATATCACCTTTCTACTACTCAAAACCACAAAGTCATCAACATACAGGGAGAGAAACTGTGGGTATGCGGAACTCTCAGTAACTAAGAATTTTCATTGTGCGATGCATGGATTATTGGTTACCTAAAACTTCTCTTTAAAGCTGGTAAAAAGAAGGATCAGATCCTGTGCAGAGAATGACACTTTTTAGCGGTTTTGTGGCTGACTGGTGAGTGAACACCAGATGGGGCCAGCAGTCCTGGGATGGCCCCGCGCAGACCCAGCTCCGGCACAGAGACTTGTAGCCGACCAGGGAGCTGACAGGTTAAGATGTTCCCCCGTCCTTTTCTCCCTGGTTTCTTAGAAAATCCCTTCCCATATGCAATGAGCTTGTCTCCCTGGCAAGGCGGAGATCTCTGTGGAGAACATCAACTCAGCAAAGAGGGATAAGGGAGAGGGGACTCCTGTACTTTTTTCTGAACCTCCCTGCCTCTATCCAAGAGACAAAGGACGCTGCTTGGAAAATCATTATATCTTTCCTCCTGGAAAAGGAATAATCCACGCTTGCCAGTCTTACACAGAACGGCAAACACACCAACGGCACCATCAAAGACATCTGCCGCACGTTCAGGGTTTCATGTCTCGGGAACTTTCAGGAGAGCCCAGTGTTCCTTTTTCACCAATATGATCGGTGAACTACGTTGTCCCCCCACTGCTGTATAGAAAACCTGTCCATTACTGAAGCCAAAGAACACTCTGGAAGAGTTCAACCCCACTCAAGCCTCAAGGGATAGCCATTTGCTTCTGAGTTTGAACTGTGTCTAAGCCTCGCTGTCCAGGAA